CACCAAAGTGCTTGCTCATAGGGGGTCACATGATTGTTGGGTTTTCTCTGTATGTATTATTATAGGGTCTACCTTACAAAGTACAAGGTACTTATAAAGTACCATGAGGAGACTGTTGTTGTGATTTGGCGCTTTATAAATAAAACTGAATTGAAAATTGAATTGAACTGTGCTGGTATGTTGTTTTTACAGAGAAGAGGCTTTCTCTTTTCAACCTTTCCAAACAAGCCCTCCATGTTCAGTCTTTTACTAATTTTACAATTATGGACTTTAACATGTAACATGCTAACTGAGGTCTGTAGCATCTGAGATGCTACTCTTGGGCTTTTTGTGATCTCCTTGAGCATTGCACAGCCTGACCTTTGGGGATATTTGCTGGGACATCCACTTCTGCAAAGATTGTGGCATTGTGTTAACACACAGCTGAATACCCAAGGTAAGTAAGATGTGACAACAGAGACAGTGAGAGTTGAGCTATTTCTAGTTATCTAGTATTTCTTAATTTCACCCATTGTCTATTCCTACTTGCTAAATTCTTCGGTAGCAATTGAGGATTCACATCTCAACTGCCCTCCAAGTGCTGATAATAATGTGAGCATTGAATGTATGGGATATTATAGTATTAAGGAATGCATTATATTCCCTATCAATGTTCCCTCTCATTTTCCACGTGTCTGAGCAAACACACAAACTCTCTGAGCGATCCCTTGGACCACTGTGAGCAAAATCAGACGTGTGCACTGTGGTCACGCCAGTATCGAATCCATCCAAGTTTCATGGTTTATTAAGATAATCAAATTACAGCATTTACATTTATGTTAGACTACTTTTAATTAACTTCTTTAGCCCATTTATAATGAAAATGTAAAACAAAAATGTAGTCATTGACCTGTGTAGTATGTTAACACTATTGGAAGTAAAAATAACTTTAACTGCAATTTTGAAAACACAACTTTCTTTTTCTTTTTCTTTTTTATAAAGCTCTGACTTGTATTATGAGTCTGTGGTCTGGGAGAGAGTCCTGTAACTCTCTGTCTGCAAAATACAGTAAATAAAGACCAATGTTGGGCAATTAATTATATAGTTACTTCTTCGAAAAAGTAACTCAGTTTGGCAAACAAACTGTTTGTTTTGCAGCTATTTTTTTTAATGCAGCCAAGGCGTTTTTTTTTTTTTTTTAAATAAACATTTCACATTATTTACAGAACAATCAGCTGTTCTACATCAAATTTGATGCCACACAAATTATTTGTGCCACTCCAAAAATAATTTCTGTGACTATGAGATAAAGGAGAACAACAGCCTGATACCTGCAGGCCTGACAACAGGATGTATCACTCCTGTAACACCTGTAACATTCAGTAGTCGCCTCATTGTTCTGACACACAAAACAAAACTACTGACTACACTACACACTAACTACACAAGATTTGCGCTAATCGCCGCAAATCTCTCACATCTCAAAACACCGCCGTCACTCCTAAAACTTCCCCCCGTTTCGTAACAACTTGCCATATCATTTTTTGATTGGTCGACATGGCACTTTTTTCGACCAATAGAAAAGGGTGGGGGTGTTTTTGGTTTTGTTTTTGCTCACAGGCGGAGAGTGCTTTCGAGCCTTTTTTTCTTATAAAACGTTTTTTCCCGCAGTAAATATAAACAACGATAGTATTCAGGAAGAAAACCAAACATTGCATATTTTTATCATAACTCTGGTTTTACGTAGCCTATCAACACAATTTAAAAACTGGTATAAAGTCCACACTTTTCCGTCAATTGTTCCGTCTGTCCTGCTCACATCTCCAATGGTTGTACACGTTGTCATTAACGTGGCTTCACTCTACATCAGCCACACCGCTTTGCTAGCTAAAACACCGGTGTCGGCCATTGACTGTAGAAAACATGGACGACGTGACCCCGCCTCCTACCATTGTGCAAAAATGAAGCCAAAATATCCCGCCTGTGGAGGCTGCCATCTTGCAAATTTG